AGCGAAATCATGAAGGGAGACAAGCTTCACAGACAAGGCGGCAGCGGCAGCCAAGAGCGAAAGGAGACAAGGCGGCAGCGGCAGCCGAGAGCGAAATCATGAAGGAAGACAAGCTTCACAGACAAGGCGGCAGCGGCAGCCAAAAGCGAAATCATGAAGGGAGACAAGGTTGGGAGACAAGCCGGCAGAGGCAGCCAAGAGCGAAATCATGACGGGAGGCAAGCTTGGGAAACAAGGCGGCAGCGGCAGCCAAGGGCGAAATCATGAAGGGAGACACGCTTGGAAGACAAGCCAGCAGAGGCAGCCAAGAGCGAAATCATGAAGGGAGACAAGCTTCACAGTCAAGGCGGCAGCGGCAGCCAAGAGCGAAATCATGAAGGGAGACAAGCTTGGAAGACAAGCCAGCAGGGGCAGCCAAAAGCGAAATCATGAAGGGAGACAAGCTTGGGAGACAAGGCGGCAGCGGCAGCCAAAAGCGAAATCATGATGGGAGACAAGCTTCACAGACAAGGCGGCAGCGGCAGCCAAGAGCGAAATCATGAAGGGAGACAAGCTTGGGAGACAAGGCGGCAGCGGCAGCGGCAGCCAATTTCCGCAATCAGGAACCCATCCATTGAGAAGTAAGAACCCCTATAGCTTCGCTATCTGGGGAAAAACACGTAGAAGGTCTAGAGTCTAGAAGGAGGTACCGTTCATGAGGTCCACTCCCCGAGTGTTGTGCTGAGGGGGGGAGTGTACTGAGCAGTAGTTAGTAGAACTAGTAGTAGCAGCAGCAGCAGTAGTAGCAGTAGTGGTAGTAGTGGTAGTGGTTGTGGTAGTGGTGTTAGTAGCTAGTAGCTAGTAGTTTGTAGTGGTAGTAGTAGTAGTAGAAGTAGTAGTAGTAGTAGTAGTAGTAGTAGTGGTTGTAGTAGTAGTAGTTGTAGTTGTTGTTGTTGTTGTTGCACTAGTATTGCACTAGTACTTGAACTAGTACTAGTAGTCGTTGTAGTCGTAGTAGTCATAGTATAGTAGTCGTCGTCGCCGTGGTCGTAGTAAGCAAGTAAGTATGTAAGTAAGTAAGTAAGTAAGTAGAAGATCCCCAAGCAACTGGACCATTGAAGCCAAGCCAAAGGCCAAAAGTGCTCCCAAGAAACGTGGCAGGCCTACGGGGAAGGCTGCACCCAAACCAAAGCCTACACCCAAGCCAAGAGCTACACCCAAAGCAAAGAGCAGCCCAAAAGCATCCAAAACCAAGCAAGACAGCTCCGGCTCCAGGTGCCGACAGCTCCGGGACTGTCCCCTTCAGGAGATCTGCGTCTTTGTCTTCAGACCCGAGGTGGCGACTTCTATCTGTATCGCGGGCTGTTCCAGGCAGCTCGGCCACCGGAAACCGGTGGCCAGAGCTGCCGGGAGCGATGCCGCTCGCTCTCAGTAGGGGCTTGTAGCAGGTGGCTGCACATACAACGACAGGACTGCAACTCAAGATGGATCTCAAAAGTGTGTCTTGACCAGGGCTGCTGGGTTGCCACAGAGCGACAACTCAATAGGATCCAACAACACCCTCCAATGAAGCCCACACAGCTCGAGGCCCCACACCCCACAGATCCCACCACTGTCGCAACTGCCAAGTGACCGGGATCCGCATTTGACGCACCAACACCTGGTGTGGCGGGTGGTCTGAGTGCGGGTGCGTCCGTCCATCAGTTCATCCAAACGGCTGAGTGCATGACATGGCGATGTCAAGGAGGCCCCCCCCTGGTGTCATGCCGATCGAAAAAAAACGCAAAACATCTGGAGCTTCAAGGGTCCCTTCTCCCTCCCATTCTCCCTGGGCCCCCCAAACGATGTGTCCTTAGCAAATGGTTCCAGGAAGATTAAAAAAAATCCAAAGGATCGGTAGATTGTTTTCACAAGGTTCGTCCCATGACCAGAAGTCCAAGAGTTGCTTTTGGAGAGCGTTGCCAACGAAATACCACCGCCAAAATCCCATGAAGCCAAAAGCATGCTTTCGTGAAATCAAAATGATCTTTCCAGGTTTTGTGCCTCCATTTCCTGGCCCGTGAAGGCACAATGAGTGCTGAAAATCTGCAACAAATAATATAAGAGTCCAGGTTCAGAAAATGGTCCAGAAACTTCATGGGCCAACACCCCTTACTGGGTCTGGAAACCAAAATATCCAGGTTGCCAGCTTGCCTGCCAGTTTTCCTTTGAAGGGGAAGCGCCAACTTCAGTTGCTGCTATCTGCTGGTGGCTGCACAAATTATATATTTGGTGATATTTGGTGTACCCATTGTCACAGGTAGCCCGACACCCCGGGAAAGGGTTTGAAAGACAAGGACACTCCCTGGAATCACCAGAGTTACGTGGATGGATGGCATCGCCCCCAAGGCTCGGATTGAGTTTATACCAAGCAGGTCAGGTGGCTTTCCACGGAAAACCTGAGGATTCCAGGGAGTGTAACACCACTTGGACCTCTACCATCCTCATGGTATTGCCTAGAACCCGCCGCAAACACCACACGCCTGAAGGGAGATCGGTTTGATCTGTCACCAGCGCTTTCCACGTGTGGCATCAAACCGAAATGGAGACAAGCCACTGACGCCATTGAAGACTGCAGGTTATTTGGACCTCTCTTGCCGTGATTAGTTGTGAATCAACGCGTATAATACTCACCTACGCCCACAACACACAAACCCAAAAACGACACGTTACCGATAGAGGCAAAAACAAAGCCTTGCCATTACCTTCTTGCCTCGTACTGAAGACAATGGTGGAGCGCACGCAAGGAGATCTCCCACAGAGCATCTGCATGCTTCCGCAGCAGCAAGTCCTACCGTCTTCTCGCCGAAGCGTCGGAGGGAAGAACGATGAGGCGGAGACGGGGCACGTGCCCCGATGGTCGTAGACGAAAGCCAAAACGGGTTTGAAGTTTTGAAGTTCTGTAGTTTTGGGTGGTTCCAACACTAGTGTTTCCCTACTTTCTCCCTACCCTGTGCCCTACACGAGTTTTTGTGGTTCCAACTCCTGATGTAATGGAGCTCTCTTGCCGCGACATGATCTCTCTCTTTAGTCTTTCCATGTCTTTCCAATCCCAGTGAATGAAAATCAAACATGGTGGAATACAAATGACGTGAAGATCGACAAAGGACGTGACGGTTGCTTAGATCTTATGTAAGCTGCGCCATCAACCATGCAGTTTTAAAGAAATCAAGGTTCGGACATCTTGCATGACTGGTGCGATCTGGGCAATCTGTGCCATCTGTGCAAGCCCCAAGAACTTTACAAATTTAAACATAAAGGTCATGAAATGATGAAGCAGCAGCAGCAGCAGCTGCTGCTGCTGCTGCAATCAGGAATATTCGGGCGATTTCAGGAGGACTAGGACTAGGACCAAAAGGTTGGAGTAAATCTGAACCAACCCCATCGCACCATTCCGCTTCCACTTTTCACGTACACCAGGTGATCTCCATGATCTCCTTCCCTTTGGATCTATCCCACTCTCCCTGCTTACCACGCCCGAACCCACCTGCGCCCCGTCCCCGCACCGCTCCGACCCATCCCCGAACCACCGCCGCCGGCGCCGTCCTCGGCGTTCTCGTCGGCGTGGGCCTGGGCCACGCCGGCGGTGCGCACCATGCGGCCCAGGATGTCCAGGTCCTCGGCGCGGAGCAGCGCGGAGCGCGGAGAGCGAGGGTTCGGGGGGAAGAACGGCCGAGGTCGCGTGGGGTGAGGGAGGAGGACAAGGAGGAAGTATGGAACCTTATTTTGTGGGTCATGGAGTCATGGCTGGAGTCAAGTGCTGGAGTCCGGTGGAAGTGCTTTGAGAGTCGTTGGTGCCAGTGTCTTTCTTCCAATGTATAGATCTGTGAAGTCAAGTTGGGTTCAGTTCCGAAGTGTTCATCAAGCAAAGTACCACAAAAAAGAACGCGAAGTCGACCTCCTCCCGAAGGATGTTCAGTTTCTACTTGGCCGATCCAGTGTGGAACGCTTCATGTGTGGAACGCTTCAGACTCGTTTTGGGGGCCAAGTGGGTCGCGACACACCGGATAAAACCGGCCCTGGTGGACCTATAACGATGTGTTCGACCTACTAGGGAAGGTGGGTGGGTTTTGACCCACAGCCGATATATAGGATGAGGGAGGGAGGATGATCGGATCATCGGATCCCCACTCCCCGGTGCAAGACTTCCCCTTTCAGGTGGTACATGCGAGAACATCCTAGTGAAGTAAAGGCCACCCTTTCTTGCAAGAATGGCAACCATGGCAACATGAAAGCCTGACTATATCGTCTGGCAAACATCCTCTCGTTCCAGGAATCTCATCTTCCGCTGAAAAACAAAAAGTTGGTGCTTTGATCGAAGAATAGGGCGATCGATCGCCTGACCTCATCTGGATTTCTCTCGAAAAAAGATGGAGCAGCGTTTGAACAATCTCTTTTGTTGCAAAAGAAATGGCAGGTGCCAGTGTGGATCTCCGGCAGATCCGCCGGCGGATCAGCCAGCAAAACGCTGCTCCACTCCACTCCGCCCCACTCTACACCGCCGCACCTCCATGCAACCAACCCGTCCCTGAACTCGGCCCAAGCGTCAGACCACAAGTCTGGGGCACAGGCGCCCAAGGTGCAGAAATACATGGACTCCTCGGGTTGTGGGTGGCCATTCATCGGATAAACACAGTGTTATTTCCAGCTGCCAGCTGTGGGGGCTGGGCTGGGGCTCGGCATGTGTTGGTGTTATTTCCAGCCAAGTGGCTGGTATAGACGGCTAATGGACGGTATTAGATATTGCAGGGCACGTATCTCCAGCTGTGAAAGATGGGGGGACCATCTGTTGGGCTGGGCTGAATCGAAACGGAGTTTGGGTGTGTTTCCTTGGTGAAGACATTCGGCGCCTGCCCGATTCATCCCGAAAATCAAGACAGGTGCCGGGTGGTCGTATAGAACTGGTTGTCATTTACTTGATGTTTTTCTTGAAGCAATGACTTTGTTGTCAGTAATTAGAGCCAGGTCCACAACATTCCAAGCACACTGCTGACAAACGATGGATATCATCACGCTATTGAATAGCTTGCGGGTGTTGGCGTGTCATGGTGTCGGGCACAAGATGCTTAGCTCCCGTAGCTACAGTTTCACAGAGCAAACCATCCAAGAGACCAAACGAAAACGAATCACAACCGCTTCTCAAATTTGGTTGGTGGGCAGATCATTATTAAGGATTTGGAGAGAAAAGACATGAATGATGTTTTGACTGTGTTTCCCACAAAAACCTTAGAGAACAAGGACGCCCACAGAGCCGGACGCCCTTATCGGACCTCCGAGCCCTCTCCGAAGCAGAAATCCATCCAGGCCACATAGGCGCGGATCTGAATCTCAGGCGAGGGGTTCTCCAAGTAGCCTAGGTGCGTGAGCAGAATCTACGGTACGGCACGGCGGCAGAGAATCTGCAGCCCTCTGCGGGGCAGTTTGGGGGGGGCGCAGAGGTTTCCGTCCGATTCTTTGGAACATGTTTCACCTCAAGATTGGTGCTGTTGGCAGTGCAGTGACCTTTTTGTTTGTTGCTGAGCAGGGATCCTAAGTCTTTGGCTTTGGCTTAAGTCTTTAAAAGTCTTCAAACGTTGTAATGACTGGCTGCCCATGACACGGCTTAATAGACCCACTTAACAATGAACAACACACCAGCAATAACACCCCTCAACCCCAGCACCGGCACCCTCTCTTCCTCACCCTCCAATCACGACTTTCACTGTCCCAAGACCTGGTCATCCAAGACCTCTCTCTTTCCCTCTTTCTCTTCCACTCCTCTTCGCTATTAGGTTGCCTGCCATCGCTTCTAGGTTGGAGGCAATCTTCCTCTTTCTCTTCCACTCCCCACTCTCTTCCAGTCCGTCAAAAAACGCCTCTTCAGCCAGGCCACTGCAGGCCAAGACCAAGATCTCACGGCTCAGGAACTTCCTTCGTAGCTCCGAAGGCGCCTGCGACCTCGCGATCGACTCGATCATCCGGCACTGTTTCAGCCATGCGCAGCCGTCTCTTGGCTGAGGTGTGAGGATCGGAGTTGGTGCATGGGTGGAGTCAGTGGGCTAGTCAATGGCGTCTGATGTTTTTGAAGAAATTCCATAGGACTGGCTGAAGAAACAGCCAAACTTAAGGGATTGGTGTGAGCCCTTGTCGTCTTGTGAACCGATTCCAGAACGTCTCCCGATTCCGTTGGGTCGGTGGTGTGGATCTGGTACGAATATACCCTTCCACCGAATGGCTCAGCCCCAGGGACTCAATCAGCTTGCGTTAATGAACCATCACCGAGTTTTTTTCCCATTTGACCCAAAAGCAAAAGCTATGGTTCTTGGGCAACTAGTGAAAAAAATGTTTCTTGGAAAATGTCATAAATGTGTTCAATCATAATTCTAATGAAGAAGAAGGAATAAGATCACACACGCAAAAAACATCAATGAACTCACCCACTGGTCACAATCATGGCACCACGATCCGTGCGTTCAGTGCCATTCAGCTTTGAAACTGCGCCTGTTCGCGTCCTGCCCTGCTGTGTAAACACTTGGCTTGCCACGTTTGGGAATGCAGGACATTGCAGGACTATATACCTCCTTGCGCATCTGCGAGTCCAAGAACGCTAACTAGCTACCAAGTGGGTTTTTCTTCTTGCAAACTCCAAAAGGAAAGAGCTTTCAGCAACACACATCTCAAAACAAATTGCCTTCCTTCATTTTGAGGCTTTGGATAAAACTTCACCATGGCCTGACAAATGTTTCTTGTTCCAAACATTCCAAACCCAGTGCCCCAACACAAAAGAAAGAGCTTTCAGCATGTGTTCTATTCCAAACCCATCCAAACCCATGTACCAGTATGTGTTGTGTCTAATTCCCAAGGCCAGGTGGCATGCCATGGAAGATCTCGATGAGCGCTCGCCGCGCCACCAGAGCATCGTCCTCCGCCGACATGCGGCTCACGAACCTGAGAGCTTCGGTGTCAACAGTTTGGCGGCGTTGTTCTTCGGCGATTTTCTAGGATTGAGTGGAGAGAAACCTTATATAAACGGATGATGCCGGAAAGAAAGGCTACTCTTGGAAGAAAGCAAGAAAAGGAAGAAGAACAGGACCTTGCAACGCAAATATGAATTCATGAAACAACCACAAGCAAGTTACAGCTAGCTCAGTGAACAATGCTTGGAAGTTTATCGACAAAAAAGCTGGAAGGACATTCGGACATTCTGAAAGAAATTGATATAAATGTTATAAATTAGAACGTTTGAAATTTAAATATATCGGGTGAACCACTGAACAGCACAAAAGCAATCTCTTCCACAAACTAAAAAGACACCAATTAAGAGCTCAAACAAGAACCAGCTAGGTGCGCACACACACAAAAGCAAAAGCCACGTGCTGGCTGTCTGTTCTCGATGTGTTCTGAAAAAATGTTTGTTTTGCGAGAGAGGAAGCAAAAATGGTCGACATAACCTCCAACGATACAGACCTGCCAAGAAGTGGTGAAGGTCAGGTCTTTTGGATGTTGCCTTTTGTAGGGTAGTGTTAATTCAATCCACATCCTCCCAATGCCATTCCTACTTTGTGTTCCCCGTACTACAGCATATTTGCGGGTGCGATTAAACAAACGCATAGTTGACCTCTCATCGTCCCCGTTCTCACTTTGCAGCGGACCCTACAGAAAGGAAACAATCTGGTTTGAACCAGACTACCCTGACTGACACCAAAAGTTCATCTACCAACAGTGAAACATGTTGTGTACTGAAGGACAAAGGCCATCAAGAACTACTTCTTCTTCCAATCCACTTAAATCGCAAGCTTATCCATAAGAATAGTAATTACTCATGTTGGATCATCAGTAGAATACGTCTAGTCTTCCACCTTACACCAGTCCACCTTACACTTGCCTTAAAGCGCTACTTTCAGTACTGCGGGGCGGATCCATGTCTTGAGCACCGTTCTGCACCATTCCGGCCACCACGGTGCCGCCGAGCCGCATGAGCATGCCACGATCTGGCTTGACCTCCTCACGTGACATGCTGGTGTAGTAGAGGTTGGCACAGCCTGAAGTGTTCGATGCAAGATTTGCAGAGCTGCTCAGTCTCGAGCTTTAACAGGTTATCGATTCATAGAAATCTTGTTTAAAGGACAATATTGTTTTTAGAAATGTATTCATAGTCATAAAACTTTATGGAAAAACGTTAAAAGAAAGAAACGAAGTCATAGAAATACGATTCCAAGGTTGGGATTCTTCAAGCGTTATCATCCGTCAATCCTGAAGGATCCTGAAGGTCTATCAGTCTATCGTTGAAAAGGAAGCGATCCCATCACTGAGTTGCCGGGTTGGGAACGAGGGGCATCAATATGAATCAACACCATGAACGGTCCATAAAGGGCATTCAGAACATCTTTTGTGCCACAACAGGAAGAGGCCAAAGAACACTTTAGGATACTGTTGCTGAACGTTTCTGGCCTGAATCTGCGGGAATCATTTGGCTTCACTCTCCTTCCAAGTTCAGCCCATATTTGTTTGGGAAGACAGGGTAAAAAAGCGCTGGTCTGCAAGCAAACCTCTATTTCACGTGAGGGTTGCCGGACTAAAACCTCCTAAAACACCTCATCTCTCACAAAAAAAGCGGGAGCAATATCTTTCCTGCCATTAACGCCATTCTCTGCGAAGTCCAAGAACCTACTGGACAAAACCCGCCCCCACCCCGACACAGTTCCCTAAACTCCTATAGACCACCCCTCCGAACGCCCGTTCCGCCCTCCCTCCGCCCTCCCTCCGCCCGTTCCTCGTCCGAGCCACACATGATGTACTTGTGCAGCGAGGAGTCGGTCTTTTGACAATTCTGGAAGTACTCCGCCATCGCGTGGAAGATCCGCCCTCGCCGGGCCCGAAGAAGGCCGAAGAAGGCCGAAGGGGGCCGAAGGGGCCCGAAGGGGCCCGAAGGGCCGCGCAGCGTGAGGCTCGGTGCCGGGCGTTTTGAGGGCTCTGTGTGGGCTTCGTTCCGAAAGCAGCTCGGTCTGCCGTGACATGGTGGAACTGGTGGTACTGTGGGACCAAAACGGGCGGGTGGTGAGGCAGTGAAGCAAGATGCATAGGGTTAGGTTGGAAGGCTCATGACTCATGCTGATCATATAGGAGCTCTATTCTCAAGTAGTATGGCGGGATATGGAGACTGGTGGTGTGCCTGTGACTGGGATTCAGTACCAATAGTCCTCACTTGTCCTCACAACAAACTGCCAAAAACTGTCATGACTCCAAATCTAACTCGATCTATCTTTAGCTTAGCAACCACATCTGTGCGCAGCCGTGAAGCCAAGGCTGGCTAGTTGGGGTACAAACATGATAAATACACAATAAATACAAACATATCACACAAATTCTCACAACGCAGAACTCCTTCCGAAACATGTGGACAGCCCTGGCTCTGGGGTTCTGTCAACTGGCACCCTTGATGAACTCCTGCAAACAAAGAGTACTGAAGTTTCCCAGACACACGTTACTCACCAAAATTATGATCAGATCCAGAAATCAAGGCGCCAAAGAGAGTCAACAAACACGGTTCTCAGTCTGCACTTGGTTTTTTGCCCATGTCATCACGTGTCATCCTGTAGCTGGCAGCTAGACAAAAGATCAGCCAAAGTTATCCATTGCAAATCCAGATCTTGGTGACACCACTTATCCACATGGAAAAACCAAGTGCAAAAACCACACGCAGCTCCAACCCAGCTATGCTCCAAAAGTTGCATTCAATAAGACAACAACCCAGCTATGCTCCAGCTATGCCCCCGCAAAATCAATGAGACGTTCCCCAACACTCAAGAACTCCCCATTTTGGAGCTGCACAAATCCATCTTGGACAGAATTGCTGTCGACTGACCCACCCCAGGTGGGGCTGTAGAACCCCAACAATCAAGGCTCCCACAGTGTTCTGTTCCAGGGTGGCGTTCTGGTCATGTGAATGACATGTTTCATGTTAGTTCATGTTAGTTCTTGTTAGTTCAATTCTAGACCCAAAAACCTGGTGGATTTCTCTTCTCCAACTGTCCCCCCAGGAGACCGCCTGAGACTGCCTTCTCTTGGCACAAGCACGTCAAGGTCGAGAAGATCAAGCGTCGCAAACTGGGCGACGTCGCGTCCGCCGGCATCACCTGCCGCTGAAGAGAGCTAGATGGGAGGTGTGTCCCAACAGTGGCTGTTGTTGTTGGGGGACGGAACTGGAGATGTTCTCAAGGGGTTCCCCAACAGTTACCAGCTACTATCTTGTTTTCCACTGAAAAATGTCCCAATGGTGAAAAATATGGCGCATTATAGGGTCCGATGGAAATATGAGTCAGAGGGTCCTTCTTCATCCCCAAGTAAGGGTTGAAAATAAAAATATCCGAAACCATCACCTAGACCATGGTTATAGGCAACTTTGATATTGAAAGTTGAAGTTTCATCATATTCCTGGCATTGTGTTCAGTGGTTTTTGTGGGGGCAAACACCGTTTCCTGTCACCTCGCATAGTCCTCGCGTCTAGTCCTAAGGACCAATCCTGGTGCACCGATTCTGGTGTACTCAGTGACAGGTTCGGTCGGTTCGATGGGTCACCACCGGACCTGGATGTGTACCCAAGTAAACCCAAACACCGACACACGCAGGTCGAACACAATGGTTTTTCATGGCTCTAGCCGGGAAAAACTTCACAGATACTGTTAGCCTACTCAGAAATCAACCAACAAACCCACAGGTAAAACTGTTCGCTTGTTGAACCCGTCGACGTGGCCTCTTCCAAGAACCCATGGCCCATCATGGCCCTATCAGGTCAAGGGTAAATGCTTGGGCTTTGTTAGCATGTTCAGAAATCCAGCATTAACAAAGCCACTGGTGAAGCAGAATGAAAGCAGCATGAAAGCAAAAACAAGCAGAATGAAAGCGAAAGCAAAGCCTCCTTCCCTTCTCAATCTGCACTTAACCCCGTCAGGCTATGATGAAAAGGTTGCCGCCATTACTCACTTCGTTCGCAGGTACAACTTCAGCCTAGCCTATCGGCTGGCTTTCGTATTTGGGTTGCGTTTTTCCCCACCTGCCAGGTGAGGGTTGTTAGATTTTATCACAGTTGTTCCTCCTCCTCCTCCTCCTCCTCCTCCGCGTCCTCCTCCTCCTTCCTTCCTCCTTCCTCCTTGCTTCCTTCCTCTCCAATCTTCATCGCCAATCTGCTTCGCCGATCTTGTCTGGCCAGCTCCGGATCGCAGTGTGCACCCCTGGACCTCAACCGCAAGGATCCCCTCGCAGT